CGCTCCCTACCCTCCTCTCTCCCTTCCCCTTCTCTTCTTCTTCCCTCCTCGTCTCCCACCCCACTTTTTTCATGTTTTTCACCCCCCCCTGCCCCCTGCGTCCTCATTCTCCCCTTTCCGGCCTGCCCCTCAAATTCTGCGCTTCCCCTTTACTCTTCCCCTTCCCTGCCGTCTCTCAACCTCCGCACTTTTTTTCAATTTTTTAGGCCGCCCCCGTTCGCCTTTCCCCTCATTCCGCAAAGCCCAGGCTGATCGCGCCTCATTCCACTCTGGCCCTCATTTCTCCTTCCCCGTCCCCTTTCCCTCAATTCTCTTTCCGTCCTTTCCTCCCTACCCACCTCCCTACCCTCCTCACCCAGCCACACCCTCCTTCTCCGCCATTATTCCCCTTTCATATCCCTTGGGGTGTGGTCGTTCCCCTGGCCTTTGCTTTAGTAGACGGAAAAAGGGAAGAGAGAGAGAGAGAGAGAAGAGAGGGAGAGGGAGAGGGAGAGGGAGAGGGAGAGGGATAGGGATAGGGATAGGGATAGGGATAGGATAGGGATAGGATAGGGATAGGGAGAGGGAGAGGGAGAGGGAGGGAGAGGGAAGAGGGGAGGGAGAGGGAGAGGGAGAGGAGAGAGGAGAGAGAGAGAGAGAGAGAGAGAGAGAGAGAGAGAGAGAGAGAGAGAGAGAGAGAGAGAGAGAGAGAGAGAGAGAGAGAGAGAGAGCGAAGAGAGAGAGAAAACATAATGGAAAATAAAAATAAGCACAGACGGGTAAAAATAAGATATTGAGGGGTAATGAGTAATAAAATCTGAATGAAACAGTGAACTAAAAGATTCATCGTGAGATTATGCGATTATTGTGTGGTTGTTGAAGAAGAAAAAAACATTGTCTATTTTTCTAAAAATACGACAAGAAATTGTACGCTTCGAAATGTTTACAAATTGTTGTCCAAACCGATTCGAATTATTTGAAGAAAAAAAGAGAATTATTTGAAGAAAATAAACATTGTCTAGTTTTCCAAAAAATACGACAAGAAATTGTGCGACTGGAAATATATACAAATTGTTTGTGTGGTTGTCTAAACCGATTTGAATTATTTGAGAAGAAAGAAGAAGAAGAAGAAGAAAGAAGAAGAAGAGAAGAAGAAGAAGAAGAAGAAGAAGAAAGAAGAAGAAAGAAGTAAAGAAGAAGAAGAAGAAGAAGAAGAAGAAGAAGAAGAAGAAGAAGAAGAAGAAGAAGAAGAAAGAAGAAGAAGAAGAAAGAAGAAGAAGAAGGAAAAAGAAAGAAAGAAGAAAGAAGAAAGAAGGAAAGAAAGAAAGAAGAAGAAGAAGAAAAAGAAACGAAAAAGAAAAAGAAAAAGAAAGAAAAAGAAAAAGAAAAGAAAAAAAAAGAAAAAACAAGAACAAGAACAAGAAGAAAGAAAAAAAACAATGCCTAGTTTCCCGCCCCAAAAAAAAATACACGAAAAGAAGCGCAGTATATAAACTTTATCGAGCCACAGGGATCTGCTTCGGCGAGATCGAATTGCCTTTGTTTCGAAAGCAGGAGTTCGCCACACGCAT